AACACAGAGCACCTCCTACCAACATCCCAGCATGAGAACTGCAGGGACACTGCTCAGCAGCTTTGGAGCCACTTGGATGGCAAAGGGAGCTGCTCTCTGCAAAGGTTTGGATCTCACAGTCACCAATATCAGACAGACACCTTGAGGCTCAGCTTACACCACCTACAACACTGCCTTTCTGTCCTGGTGCCATTCTTCCCTGAAGCAATTGTTAACTACAAATGTACATGTAACTACAGTGTGTTTATAAAGCAATGTGCTCTCCACAATGAAGGAATGTTAAATCATCTTCACTGTTTAATGAATATTTTTTTGTTACCAGCACTTGATGAAGTCACAAAAGACACAAATTGCTGTCAGGCATCATCTCAAAACCAGCCCACCAAGTGCAATCTGCTTCACTGTATTGTGATTTTCTAAAACTTGTCTACCAGGTTCATTTACCAAGCAGTGCACCATTGAAATTACACTCAACAACAGCACACAATTCTCCTTATTCACTGCCAAGTATTGCAGGTTTTGGAAAACAGAATTTAGATAGAAATATGCCCAAAAAACTAAAATCAACAACCTGCAGAACTGACCTTCAACAGTGACCTCAACCTCAGGATTCTCAGTTATTTCTGACATGTCATGCTGGGAGGAATCTGAAAGAGAAAGACAGGACTCTTGAATGATGGCCATGGACAAGATTTTTAACCAAACACTCCATGCCTCTGCATCTAAACCAACATTGTCAAAGAAACCTCTTGCATTCACAGCATGCAACAAAAATTGAAGCAGAGATATATTACCATGACTTAGTCTATGATGATGATTACACTCCTGCAAATCACCTACAGAGAGACCAGGACTCTTAAATGAAGGCTTGCAGTAAAATGTCTCATTCCTGCAGCACAAAATTACCCCAAATCTTTGCATAAAACAAAGGAGGAAAAGAAAATCATCTTTAAATTTTATCCTACCACAATTGAACTCTTCTTCTTTTCTTCTCTCAACATTGGCATCTCCATTAGACAAACTGCTACTCCTCTGTCTCTTGTCAGGTGGTGCGTAGTCATCCTCATCATCTTTAAGAAACAATTAAATAAAACCCTGGGTTTTTGTTCAGGGAAACTCGAGTGCAGCACTGGAACTGCCATGAATTTCTAAACTAAAACAGAATTAAGGACCTGTGCTTACCAGGGCACCAAATTTTGCAACAAATTACTTAACTGTATAAATTCAGGAATCTCCTGTTCCAAATGGTGAAGGAAGAATTTGTTCCTTCTAAAGGGCCTGTGCCAAGCACAGGAGAGCAAAAAACAAAGGTACCTCTAAGGAAAGCTACCTTCCTAAGGAGAGAGCTACTTTCCTAAGGAAAAAAACATTGTCTTCTGAAATATGATGTGCCTGGCATGATCATAAAACAGCTATGCAATTGCAAAAGGAATCACAGAATAAATTGTGCAGATAGGGACTACCTGTGTTATCTAACTGGAAGTAATATCATACCAGTAGTAGATTCCAAAAGACAGTACCTATATTTTGTCTGGAAGACCTCAAATGTCCTAAACCCTCAAACCAGTGTAAAACCAATGGACACTAATGAAATTCATCGAACAGGTGAAATCTGCCTTAAACACACACAAGGGGACAGACTGGAGAATAACAGGGACACTGCTCAGCAGTTTTGGAGCCACTTGGATGGCAAAGGGAGCTGCTCACTGCAAAGGTTTGGATTTCACAGTTACCAATATTAGACAGACACCTTGAGGCTCTGCTTACACCACCTACAACACTGCCTTTCTGTCCTGGTGCCATTCTTCCCTGAAGCATATCTTAACTACAAATGTTACATTTATAACCACACTGTGGTTATATAAGTTTTCTCCAGAATGAAAGAATTTTTTAACATTTTTTCCATTCAATGAATATTTGTCATTACCAACACCTGAAAATTATGCAAAAGATAGAAGTTGCCGTCAGGAATCATTTCAAAACCAGCTCACCAAGTCCAATATGTATCAGTATATTGTGGTTTTCTAAAACTTCTCCACCAATATCATTTACCAAGCAGTTCACAGTCAAAATTTCACTCAACACCAACACACAATTCTCTTGATTCACTGCCAAGTATTGCAGGGTTTGGAAAACAGAATTTAGATAGAAAAATGCCCAACCAACTGAAATCAATGACCTGGGGAACTGACCATCAAAAGTGACTTCAACCTCAGCATCCTCACTTTTTTCCGACAAGTCATGTTGGGAAGAATCTGAAAGACAAAGATAGGATTGTTTAAATGATGGACATGGACAAGATTTTCAACCAAACACTCCATGCCTTTGCATCTAAATCAACATTGTGAGAGAAGCCCCTTGTACTCACAGCATGCAATAAAAGTAGAAGCAATGATATATTACCATGAGCCTTTGAGCAATTCCAGAGAAAGCCAAGGAGGTGAGGATTACATTTGCTAAACTGCACATGCTACACTCCAGGGTTGCTGCTATGACTGAAGGGAATTCCATCATCTTGGCTTTGTAGGGTTAATACAATCATAAAGATTTTCTCCTCTCTTACCCAGGATTACTGAAAATATCAACAAAGGCTGCCTGTCCCCACAGATTAGGGATTTTTTTACCATCTCTACAGGGTCACGATTGCTGTGCTACCTTATGCTGTTCCATAACTGGCTGCAAGGCCAACAACCAAACATGGGAGGGAAATTCATGACCACAATGCTTTTGTTGGGACAGAGTGTCCAACAAGACAAACAGGATTAGCCAATCAACACTCACTGTGAGAAAGAGCAATCTATATTTAACTGCACTACAGTTAAACAAAGTGAAACTACTTGTATCAGAAACTCATCTTCCTTTATCAGAAGAATTGCTGCTGAATTTCATGTAATGGTGCCCCTAACTATGGTGATACCTACCTTCAAAGAAAAATGAATTCCATTTTCAAGAAGGAGCACTGCTGCTAGCAAAACCTGCCCTGAAAAGCTCACAGCTCAGGCTGGAGAGCCACGGGCTCAGAGCAAAGCCAGCAGGACAATGATGGACTGTTCTCACCCTGCCAAACCACTAAACTTTGGGTGATTTGCCTTTCATGTCTTAAAATAATGATGACTACCATCACAATTTCCTTATAGCAAGCCCCAGAGTGGTGTGATTTGGATGACTTAAAGTAAAGCAAAACAAAAATCAGAAAACTGAATCTGGTGGAAATATGAAAAGAGAGTGGTTGGAGAAGATTTACAATTCAAATTAGGCTACATCTTTCCAAATATTTCTGTGAAAAAAACATCCTAGGATGTTAATTTATCCCCACAAATACACTTCACATCTCAAATGCTTTAACTGTATTTCCACACCTGTTCTGTCATCAGAACTCTGGTGACTGCCTTCAAAAATATGAAGTAAAAAACACCTTCCTGACTGCACAGAGCTCTATAAAAGCAGGCAGATTAATGTGCCCATAAACCAAACCAAAGCAAAGCAAACCACAGCATAAAGGAGGATCACAAAAGATCCCAGGTGAAGCATCTTTAACCAGACTGAACTGAAGTGAATGGATGTTTTTCTGTGGAGAACCCAACAGAAGGGATAAAGAAAGAACACGTCCAGAAAATCTCAACTTCTTGTCCATCAATTTACATTGTCATGACAAATAACAAAAAACAACAGAGGTAAGCTATGATGATGATTATACTGCTGCAATTCATCTACACAGAGCCCAGGACTCTAAAATGAAGGCTTGCACTAATGTGTTGCACTCCTGCAGGACAAAATTACCCAAAACTTTTTCATAAAACAAAGCAGGGAGATAAAATCATCTTACTGGAGTTGAAATATTGTGCTTTTCTTCTCCTTCTGTTGGCAGTTTCCTTAGCTGACCTGGTGTTCCTCCTCCTCTTTCTCCTGCTAGGGGGCAGGTACTCATCATCATCATCATCTAAAAAAGACAGTTTTAAAAAAACGTGGGTTTTTTGTCCATGGAAATCAGGCATAGCTTTGGAACTGCCTTGAATTTCAAAACTTACACAGAAATAAGGAACTGTAGGCACCAAGTTTTGCAGTAAATTTCTTACCAGAGTAACTTCAGAAAGCTCCTGCTCTTACCTGTTTTCTAATACTTCACCACCAGGCTCATTTACCAAGCAGTGCACAATTCCAAACTACACTGAACACCAGCACACAATTCTCTTCATTCAGTGCCAAGTAGTGCAATATATGGAAAACACATTCTGGATAGAAAAATGCCCAAAAACCTGTAATCAATGACCTGCAGAACTGACCTTGACTAGTGATTTCAGCCTCAGAATCCTCACTTGCTTCTGACGAGTCATCCTGGGAGGAATCTGAAAGAGAAAGACAGGACAGTTGAATGGTGGACAAGATTTTCAACCAAACACTCCATGCCTCTCCATCTAAACCAACATTGTCAGGGAAGCCCCTTGCATTCAGCAAACAACAAAAAAAAGAAGCAAAGAGCCTCTGAACAATTCCAGACAAAGGCAAGGAGGTGAGGATTACACTTGCTGAACTCAACATGCAGCAGAGCACAGTTGGTGCTATGACTGAAGAGAATTCAATCATCCTGGCTTTGTAGGGTTAATAGAATCATTAAACACCTTCTGTTACCCAGGATTACTTAAAATATAAACAAAGGCTGCCTGTCCCCACAGATTAGGGATTTTTTTATCATCTCTACAGACTCCTTGTTTCTGCACTATGATGATTTCCATATCAGGGTGCAAGGCCAACAATCAAACATGGCAGGGAAATTCATGAGCACAATGCTTTTTTGGGGCAGATTGCCCCAACAACACAAGCAGGATTAGCCAATCAACACTCAGTGAGAGAAAGAGCAATTTATACTTAACTGCACTACAGTTAAACAAAGTGAAGCTAATTGTACCACAAACTCTATCAAAATTAGGCAGCAGTGCATGAAGGAACATATTTTAGTTATTCCAAGAGAGCAAAGCTTCACTGGTGCATTTTGAAGAGTATTTTCCTTTAGATCTCTGTAAGCTGGGGTATGGTATCACTTTGGGAGCAAGGTTGAAGGAATCTTTGCTTCCAAGTTTTCTCTTCACATGATGTGTGTGGTGTAGAGCAGAAATTCAGCTCTATCTACTGGGACACCTCAACTGCAGTATACTTGAACCATGTCCAATACATCATCCAGTTCATGGAAATCATTATCATGTTTAGGTCAAATTCTAAGGCAGTGCTGGGTACATAACTAGCAAATGCAAAGTATTAGAAAAAGGAAGAATTAGGAGTTGTTTTACTAGACATGAACATAAAATAGGGTCGTAAAAAGCTCTAACTGTATTTCCACATTGGTTCCTGTAGTGCCATGAGAACTCTGGGGGCTGCCTTCAAAAATATAAAGTAAAAAACATATTCCTGATTGCACAGAGCCTTATAAAGCAGACAGATTAATGAGCCCATAAGCCAAACCAAACCACAGAACAAAGGAGAGGAACAGGATCACAAAAAATCCCAGGTAAAGCACCTTTAACCAGACTAAACTGAAGGGCATCTATGCATTTCTGTGGAGAACCCAACAGAAGGGATCAGGAAAGAACATCCCAAACACAATCCCAACTTTCTATCTGTCTATTTACGTCATTGTATCAAATAACAAAAACCAACAGAGGTAGCCTATGATGAACATTATACTGCTGCAATACATCTACATACAGCCATGGCTCTTAAATGAAATTCCAAAAATGCCCTTTATCTTTTAAGTTTTTAGCTTCTGTAATTCTCTCAAAAAGGTTCTAAACAATCAGTTAATGTTACAGGGTTTTTTTCAAGATACTGATTTTTTTTTTGGCAGCAAAAAATCACCCAAAACCTTTTGATAAAACAAAGTAGGGAAATAAAATAATCTTTAATTTTCATCTTACCAGAATCGGACTCTTCTGCATTTCTTTTCCTAGTACTGGCCCCTTCATTAGCCGACTTGGTGCTCTTCTGCCTCTTGTCAGGGGGTGGATAGTCATCATCATCTTCTTTAAGAAACAAAAAAAGACAAAAATTGTTTTGTGGTAAAGGCCTTTACACATAAGCAGAATGGAATGACTCCTTTTATATAAACTTTTCTGTCAAGGTAATGGGTGGAGTTATTTCCATGCTGCATTGTAAAATACTGAAAGTAATGCCAGAAGTGTCCACTCTCCCAAATCCTCTGCCTACTTTCTAAATTGTTGATTGGGTGATCCCAATCTAATTCCACAAGCAAGCTCTGCAAAAGCCAATCTCAGCAGTGCTTTAAAGCAGCTCCAGGACACTCATTCACAAATACAAGAAACACAGAGCACCTCCTACCAACATCCCAGCATGAGAACTGCAGGGACACTGCTCAGCAGCTTTGGAGCCACTTGGATGGCAAAGGGAGCTGCTCACTGCAAAGGTTTGGATCTCACAGTCACCAATATCAGACAGACACCTCAAGGCTCCTCTACAACACTGCCTTTCTGTTCTGGTGCCATTCTTCCCAGAAGCATTTGTTAACTACAAATGTTATATCTAACTGCAGTGTGCTTATAAAGCAATGTGTTCTCCAGAATGAAGGAATGATAAATCATCTTGTCCATTCAATGAATATTTTTCATTACCAACACATGAAAATTACTCCAAAGATACAAATTGCTGTCAGGCATCATTTCAAAACCAGCCCATCAAGTCCAATATGCTTCAGTATATTGTGGTTTTCTAAAACTTCTCCACCAATTTCATTTACCAAGCAGTGCACAATCCAAATACACTCAAATCCAGCACACAATTCTCTTCATTCAGTGCCAAGTAATGCAGGCTTTGGAAAACACATTTTGGACAGAAAAATGCACAACCAACTGAAATTCAGGACCCGTGGTACTGACCTTCAATGGTGACCTCAACCTCAGGTTTCTCACTTATTTCTGACATGCCATGGTGGGAGGTCTCTGAAATGGAAAAACAGGACAGTTGAATGATGGACATGGACAAGATATTCATTTAAACACTCCATGCCTTTGCATCTAAACCATATAGGTAAAACCTTAGGAAACAACAGCATAATTGCCCTTATAAAATTATGGCTCAGCCCTATTACTTTAGCTAAGCAGAAAGGAACTATGGGAACGTGACACAGCTGCACTGGAGGCAGAAAAACAAATTATATAACCATGACATGCTCACATCGTGGTTTAGCATGGTTGGTTGAATTATGTCTGTTCTACTAAAATGGAATGCAACAGATAATAGGCTACCTGCTTAAAAAGGGCCTGTTTTTTGCAATAAATGACTCTCCTTTGCACCTTGCTGGGGACTCTGCATCACTCTGCTTCGTACTATTTATCCTCACAAAAAACATTCATATCTCATAGGCTATAACTGAATTTCCACATCTGTTCTTTTACTGCCACCAGAATTCTGGTGGCTGCCTTCAAAAATGTAAAGTAAAAAAATATTCCTGACTGCACAGAACCTAATAAAAGCAGACAGATTAATGTGTCCAAACTAAAGCAAAGCACAGAACAAAGGAGAGGTAGAGAATCACAAAAAATCCCAGGTGGAGCATCTTTAACCAGACTAAACTGAAGTGCATGGATGTGTTTCTGTGGAGAACCCAACAGGAGGGATCAGGAAAGAACACAACCAGAAAATCCCAACTTTCTGTGCATCTATTTATGTCATCATGTCAGATAACAAAAAACAACTGAGGTAGGTGATGATGATGATTATACAGCTGCAATACATCTACACAGAGCCCATGGTTCTTAAAAGAAATTCCAAAAATGTTTCTTTTTTAGCTTAATTCTGTCAAAAAGTTCTAAGTGATCAGTTGATGTGACACCTATTTTTGTGATGATACCAAACTTTTTGGCACCACAATATCACCCAAAACTCTTTCAGAAAACACAGCAGGGAGACAGAATCACCTTTAAATTTCATCTTACCAAAACTGAATTCTTTTGCATTTCTTCTCCCAGTACTGGCACCTTCAGTAGCTGAACTGGAACTCCTCAAGCTCTCTTCAGGGGGCATGTACTCATCATCATCATCATTATCATCACCAACATCACCATCATCTTTAAGAAAGAAAAAAAACCAAAGCACAACTATGTTGCAGCGTGTTGTAATGTCCCATTTTAGACTTCCAGGTCACCTCCCAGGTGTGCCTATACCTCTTCCCCCTCGCCCCCTTGCTGAGTGAGTCCTGTCAATCAGGCTTAACATTCCAGCAAGGCATCGTGTGGTTGGTCAAGTTCAAAGGATGCCCCTCAGGCCTGGGGGTCATTGGCCTGTCCAGGTGTCCCTCGTCCCTTGAGACCCCGCCCCTCCCACCTGGTTGGTGGCTCACCTGTCCCCTCCCCTCCCCTCCCCCTGAGCTTAAAAGGTGAATCAGGCCATGCAGTCGGCATTCTGTTGGAGCTCTTCCCAAGATTCAGACCTCTGTAACCATGGAATAAACCTCTGGATATTAAACCCTCCAGCAGAATCCATCTCCTTTTTCTCTTCACCATCGCCTCAAGCTTTCCTCCTGAGGTAAACAGAGTTTCTAACAAGCCTGGGCTTGTTTAGTGCCCAGCAAGCTAAAGGTGTCTCTGGGGTGATACACCACAGCTGCCACCTTTGGCTCAGCAGCGAGGGTCAGACTGGCCCAGGCACAATCTAACTGGCAATATTGGGATTCATATTCCAATACAACTAGGTTTATGTCCAGGAAACTCGAGTGCAGCACTGGAACTGCCATTAATTTAAAACTCTAACAGAATCAAGGAACTGTGCTTATCAGGGAACCAAATTTGGCAATAAATTACTTAACTGAGTAACTTCAGAAAGCTCCTGTTCTTACCTGTGAAGGAACAATTTGTTCCTACAAAAGGGTCTGTGCAAAGCACAACAGAGCAAAAAACAAAGCTGCTTCTGTACTTCCTAAGGAAATCAACACTGTGTTCTGAAACATGACTGAGCATTGCATGATTGTAAAAAACCCCATTGAAACAGCAAAAGGAATCACAAAATAAATTGTGCTGATAGGGACTATTACAGCAACTTGAGGAGGTCTCTATGGTGAGAGAAGGACGAGAATTTTGTTTGATGATTAGAAGGCTGGATTTATTGATATATGATATATAATACATTATAACTATACTAAAAAGAATACGGAGAGACGTTGCAGAGAGCTGCTAAGCTAAGAATATTATAGAAAAGAATGCATAACAAAGTTCTGTATCTAGGGAATCTGTCTCTGAGTTTGGTCCTGTGATTGGCCCTCAATTGTAAACACAGAATTTGATCCAATCACAGGGGTACCAGCTACATTTCACAGCAGCTGATAACAATTGTTTACATTCTTCTTCTGGGGCTCTGCTTCCCAGAAGATGCACAAATTTTAAAGAAAGAATTTCTATGAAAAAATGTCTACGACAAGGGACTACCTTTGTTATCTAACTGAAGTAATATCATACCATATGGATTATACCATAGGTCCCAAAACACAGTACCAATGTTTTGTCTGGAAGAGTTCAAATTGTTGGAGATTTTTTCAGGGATGGCTTGGAAGGCAGCTGTGGGGGACAGGTTCTCACAGCCTGTTTCTGTGAACAGCAGAAGTTCTCAGGTTGTTTTTAATTACAAGTAAAAGTGATAAACATGAAGGCCTTGAGAACCTTGCATATAAGAGTTCTCAGGCAGCTTTCTCATAACAAGTGGATGTTCTATCTTTGGCTGTTTTGGGAAAGTAAAAATAATTTTGAGAACCCAAATCTTGGTATTGGAAACATAAGGAGGGGTTGGTATGTTATCTCTGACCTATTGTGAGCTCGGATTTTGCAATATGCATGAACTTGATTAACACTGTTATAAAAAGTGCCTGATTGATTAATAAATAGGAGTTGATGCTGATCAATGCAAGGTGGGTCTTCTCCCTCCGACTTCAATACAAATGTTCTAAAGCTGCAGAAGCGAAGGGAGACGACCTATCCTTTGATCAGCATCGAACTCCGATTTATTGATCCAACATGCACATTTTATAACTGTGTTAATTAAGTTCATACATATTGCAAAACCCAAGCTCATCACTGGCTACAGAATACACACCAACCCCTCCTTTTGTTTTCAATACCTGTGGTTTGCTATTGAGACCAAGACTTGTTTTTCTCATCCTGTTATGAACGGTTCTCAAGGCCTCCATGTTTGTCACTCTGCTTTCCCATAACCATCCAAGGACAAGGTATTTACTTGTTTTCAGAAAACAAGCCTGAGAACTCTGCTGTTTCAGAAACGTGCCTGAGAATTTTGTTGTTTACAGGATCAGGCTTGAGAATTTGCTGCTTACAGCTGCCTTTTACTTTTCCATCAGCTGTATATTTTCATGGCCTTTTTTTCCTTCAAGCCATGTCTGAGCAAAATTCTCCAACATAAACCCACTTTCAAACCACTGTAAAACCAACGGGAACCAATGAAATTCATCAAACAGGTCAAATCTGCCACCAGGTTCATTTACCAAGCAGTGCACAATCTAAACTCCACTCAACACCAGCACACAACTCTCTTCATTCAGTGCCAAGTAATGCAGGCTTTGGAAAACACATTCTGGATATAAAAATGTCTAAAATCAATGATGTGGGGAACTGACCTTCATTACCAAACTCAGCCTCAGAATCCTCACTTGTTTCTGATGAATCAGGCTGGGAGGTCTCTGAAAGAAAAAAGCAGGACTGCTGAATAGTGGACATGGACAAGATTTTCAGCCACACACTCCATGCCTCTGCATCTAAACTACATTGTCAGGGAAGCCCTTTGCACTAACAGAATGCAAAAAATATAGAAGCAAAGATATTTTACCATGAGCCTCTGAACAATTCCAGACAAAGGCAAGGAGGTGAGGATTACACTTGCTAACTGTACATGCTACACTGCAGGGTTGCTGCTATGACTGAAGGGAATTCCATCTTCTTGGCTTTGTAGGGTTAATACAATCATAAGTATTTTCCCCTTTCTTATCCAGGATTACTGAAAATATAAACAAAGGCCGCCTGTTCTCAGAGATTAGGGATTTTTTTATCAGCTCTACAGACTCCTTGTTTCTGCACTATGATGATTTCCATAACAGACTGCAAGGCCAACAATCAAACATGGGAGGGAAATTCATGAGCACAATGCTTTTGTTGGGGCAAAGTGCCCCAACAACACAAACAGGATTAGCCAATCAACACTCAGTGTGAGAAAGAGCAATTTATACTTAACTGCACTACAGTTAAACAAAGTGAAGCTAATTGTATCAGAAATTATTTTTAAATTAAGTAGCAGTGCATGAAGGAACATATTTTAATTATTCCAACAGAGTAAAGCTGCACTTGTGCATTTTGAAGAGTATTTTCTTTTAGATCTCATTGTAAGTTGCACTTACAATTTATAATGCTGAATTTTATTAAACTCTATAAGTCATTATGAAACAGACTGAATTTCTTGAGAAACATACCAATTTACACAAACAACTTGTGCTTTAGAGTGATCAACCTGATGCTCCTCTTTAAATTTAGAAAAGGAAGAAATTAAGTTCCCATCTACATGTCTGTTTACTTGGACAGCTGGAAATTAAAGCAACCATAATTTTCATTTCTATTCATGTTTAAGTTCCAATACCCTCAGTTTTATGGCAAATCAAGTAGCAAAGCTGTGAAAAGCAAAACTCACACACTCAATTTCTAACACATATGTGAGGAAAAAACACAAGTAAAAGTTCTACCTGGGTAAGTTTTTCCAGGAGCAATGTTTTCATCTATCTCTGGTGTTTTGGAAGGGCCTGCTTGAGAACAGAGAGAACAGTTTTTAAGGATGTCTCACAACAAACACATACTTCCAGCTCATACAGGAATTTGCTAAGAAACTTTTAATCTCCTATATTATATGTTCACTTCATACCTTCTGTGATGTTAAACTTTGGAAAGACTCTGTTAAATATTAAATATTTATAAATCCTTACTTGGTTCAACAGACTAAAACTGGGGTTAGTGGCAGCATTGTGCATTTCTTAGACTACTGAACAGTCAAGAGATTCATGCTGAACAGCAGATTTCAACTAATAAACTAATTTTTAAAAAAGAAACATTGATGCTTCTGCCTTTCTTCAAGGACACTTTAATCAGCTAGATCTTTTCCCTGTTCATTAAAGTTTATATTCCTAAGGAGTATTCCTTGACCTCAACATTCCTATCTACATTTAATACATAAATTCACTGGGATTAAAGTCATTTATGACACTCCAAGGCTGTTTACTTTTCATTACAACAGCTCTTTTGAAGACTACAGACTGCTTAAAAAAGACTGGTGCAGAAAGCAGCACAGAAACTACACCTAACCTATTATTAACACTCCTAAATTATTTGTGGGTTTTTAGTGTTTATTTATTTATGTTTATTTGTGTTTACTAACACTAAATTAGCACTCCTAAAACCCTACTGCTTACTGTTCTGGCTCTCCTGCAGCTGTGCCAGAAGGGTGAGATGCTTACAGCACAAACATCATCACACTGAGCAAGAGGCCATTCTGCACCACAGAAACAGCACAGGTATGGCAAACCTGCCCACGTGTGGCAAACAGGAGTAACTGGAACTGATCTGGACTAATTGTTCTGTGCAAATCCCAGAATTTCTGTCTGCATTTGCAAAAGCAACCTGCAGAAGCTCATATAGCTGACCAGAAATTCTAGCTGTTTAGAGATACATTCATAAATGTATCAGCAAGATACATTTATGTTACTAATAGTTCCACAAGAGAAAAGCTACTGTTAATTAATAAGGCAATGAAATACTCTAAACTCTATTGCATCTGCACAGTAAGAAAGAAAATACAGAAAAGACTACTGTCACAATCAGACTTTTTAAATATTTCAGTCAACTGAAAGTACATATACCGTATCAAATAAGTTAATATTTAAGTATTAATGAAAATAATTATAATTAGGTGGTTACAATAATGCTAACTTGAACAGTTCTGCCTAATTTCATTATTCAGATTTTCAAAGAGATTAAAAATGAACAGCATTTCAAGTGAGGAACCTATGCAAAGTTCTTTGCTTGAAACACATTTCTTTCAGCAAGTGCTGCTTAGATCTGCTCCTGCCACTTTTCTTTGCTGGGGAAAGATGTTTCCCTTTTTTTTTTTTTAACCTGTTTACTTCAGATAACACCTGGGGGAAGGTGTTTCCCTTTTTTTTTAACCTGTTTACTTCAGAGAAGCTCCCTGATTTTGTCCAAAACACAGCTCCACAAACACTGATGTTGGCACAGCCTACATAGCCCAAAGATGGGGAAAAACAGGGAGGAAAAGGAGCCAGAGACACTGGTGGTCCTCCAGGCCTCAGCAGAAGGAATTCTCACACCAATAGTGTGATCTGCAACTGTTAGGGGTGAGTGGGAATAGAACACAATGCCCTGGGTGTGCTGAAAATGTCTCTATGGACTAAATTTGCTTTTATTTAAATCAACGTATTCAGCAGATGCACTCAGTCAGGTTTGTCATTTCCTAAGAACTCCTGTGAGCAAGCAATTATTATTACTCATAAGGCACTGACACAAAAAAATATGCATCCCACTACAACCAAATATCTCAAAATACGCACAGTTGTGGATTTATTCCTTAATTCAGGAATCCTGACAGGATTGTTTTACCCCCATATTCTGAAGTATTCTCTGTATTGCCTTATCTTTGTGCCAAATACATGCTGTGACAGCAGTAAAAAAGGAAAACTAATGGTCTTTCATGCTTTTAAACTTGAAGAAACATTTCTCTAGTTAAAAAGATAAACTTAGTAGATTTACAGCCTTTGGGGTTAAGTACAGAGAATTCAGTCCTTTTATCTGTAATACTGATAAAAAACTACAGTACATGTAGAAAAACCATGAGATTTTTTTTTCAAAAGTGACCAACACAGATTATTTCATGAAACTTGAACATTTTTTCCATATTACAAAGCTTGGACAGAGGAAAAAAGCAGTATGAAAATGTTGTTTCTGAAATTAAAACATATCAAACAACAGATTCTGCTATCCTAATTTTGTAAAGACTAGAAAATTAAATTTAAAAGAGTTCTACCACCAAGAGATATTAATAAAACCAGATACATTTCCACTTTACTGCATTAATGCACACAACAGGCAGAAATACATAAATATGACATAACCAAGGAAAGCAAAAATCAAGTACAGTGGAAACTAGATCAAAAGAAGCTCCATCCAGAAATAAAGATATGGAAAAAAAAAAAAATCACAAAATAGAAAAATAAGAAAACTCAAGAAAGAAGAACTAAATTCTACCAGTGAAGGTGGGATGTAGGAGGAAGGATGGACACAGAAGTGGGAAATTTAATTATTAAAACCACAGGAGACCTTAGAAGTAAAATCTTTCAGTATGTTTATGTCTTGGAATCTGAACTTCAGATGTGTGGGCAGAGCTCAGCAGTTTCACCTTGAACCAGGGAAAGCAGAGGTATTCTCTCAGCTAAGAGCTCTCTTACACAGCACAGGCACTTGGGAACTCTCTAACACCCACACCAAACCTTGCTCTTTCATGAGCAGATAAATACAGGACAGATCACTGCACCCAAAGCATGTGCTTGGTCTAGGATTCAGCAGTGCAGTGTAAGAGATGGCTGTTGGCATAAATTGAAACTCCTGAAATGTCTGTTACAAACAGGTGATTTTTCACCTTCCAACAAATCCATTAAAAACAAGAGTAGATGTCACTCCCTCAACAGTCACAGCTACTCTTTATGTCTACCCACCCACACACTATTTACTAAAACACTGATTCCAAACCTCTCAGCCTCAGTTTCTAATGGATTATGTCCTAATGTCCTAACACTACACAGCCAAACCTGTGTCATTTGGCAGAGGAATGGATTGACCACCTCAGGGATAAGCAATGCTCACTTTTCTGGCCTTTTTATAGGCTACCTATATAGTAGCAATGTGAACTAGATGGGGTTCCCTTCAGGAAGCACAACACTGTGCTCACTATATATTCTGGAGTTCCTTGGTTTAAGGTAATACCTGCACAGTCAGTGTTACATGCCAGGCTAGCTTCACAGATTTAGCTCCATTAAAATACACATTATTAAAGTACATCTCTAGTATTCTCAGAGATCACCAAAGGAGAAATGTTTTGTTGTTAGGGACATACTAACAGACATTCATTATTTTTAAGGTTTCAGAGTGAGAATAATGCCAAGTTTACATTCACATTTTGGGCTTTTCTTTGTAGAAGAAGAAATTTTCAATTTCATTTGGGTTTGGATGAATGTCCTGTATTTTAATTGCCTCAATAACACTGTAAAGAATTCCAAAACTGACAGCACTGTTCAGCTACATGGTGTTTAAAAAAAAAAAAAAAAGCTGTTAGGCAGTTTTTTTACTCACTTCTAGGTGTTTTAAAAACTGAACCAGACAATTCACAGGACAGACTGTTTACAGCCTTTTCCTTCTGCTTCCATTTTTCTTCGTTTTAACTTCAAGGCATCAGTGAAGACCTACATTCACAAAATTTACAGGATAACATGCCACTTTTACAAAGTGTTTGGTTGTAAGTCAGCAAATAACTCAGTTCTGTATAGGTTATGCCACCAAAAAACTCTGCTTTATTCTGTGATGATAAAGCACTGAGCACTCAGCACCCACTCAGCAGTGCCACACTTAAAAAGGTTTGTTTTTATATAGGACAAATTGGGTGTTCTCAAATCTGAAAATACATCTGACTCTTGAGAAATTATTACTTAATTTGTTAGTTTCTAGTAAAAATATTAAATTAGATTTAAACCACTAAACCAAGAAACAGCATTCTCAATTATGTATCTTTTCATAAGAGCCATAGTCACTGATACTTACAGGTAAGGCACATGCAGGAACACTAGCTAACATAGCTGGAATGCCCCAGGATGTGTCACTTAGTCCTGATGATAAATACACAGTCCTTTTCCTCATTTAGTCAAACATCAAAATCTGGACCTTCTTCCCAGAACAGGTTGTTCTCCCCCAAATTTAACACTGAAGTGTCCCTCACATTTGTCCTGGACACTTGAAAAAAACATCCACTGCCATAGAGTTTTGCACTACTTTGAAAGCAAACCAGTAGGTGATTCCAGAACAACTATTTAATATGAAAATTAAAATAAAAAGAGAAAACACTGCCTTAAACTGACAGACAGAGAATGCAATGTGATGCCCTGTTGGTCAGGGTGGTGGCAGCAGTCCAATTAAATGGTGGCTGCAGATCTGTTGGAGTGACAGATATGGTTCTGTTGAAGCAGTGGTCCTGTAGAAGGGTCTGGTCTTCCTCTGAAGCTCCACTAGTGATTATGTAGCTCTTGTCCACTAGGAACTCAGTAGGCAAGGCTACCCATGGTGTTCCAAACCTCAGATTCTATCCAGGTAGGAATGCTTGGCTCCTCCCCCTGGGCAGAGCATCTCTCAATGGGATGATGGAATTTTTCAGTCATGCAGTGACATTTGATGGCCCATTAGCAGAGACAGACCCCAGACTTATCAGGGATGGGTCATGGAGGAGAGATAGGGAACACTGCCCCACCTGTTCTAACAGCTTATGAAGAGGGTAATAGAATACATACTTGTGGTTACAGCTTACTTTGTAACTTAAGACAGCTCTAGAGTCCACTGACCAAAAACTGCCCCTTATTCTCTGTCAATACACCCACAGGAAGTTTTAGATGGCTGAGTCCTTATTTCTCAGTCATCTGATTGTGTACTGCTAAAACAATTCTTAATTTAGATGTTGCCATGAGTTAATTCAGTATTAACTCCTGGCAACATCTAAATGGTGCAACCTTCAACCGAGATGAGAAGAACATCCACCTACAGATATAATTTTCCCTCTTTGATTAACAGGAAGAGTTAGTGTGCCACCCAGGGACACAGCATGTTCATCAGCATTACAGATCTTTGAGAGGAAGCACTTAGAGAAAAAATACAACCATTAAATTTTATCAGTGAATCCCTTTCTCCAGGAAGCCCAAGCAGATTTCTGTTCCCTAATACTTAAGTTGTTTCTTCTCAGAAATGGATAAACCTGGCTTTTGCTGTAGGTTATTTTTAGCAAAATTTGTTACCTTACCTGTTTTCTTTATTTTGTAGCACATCTCTCCAAAGGCAATGCTGGGGCATACTATGTTATTCCTCAGGAACACCCCTCAGAATAACCACTTTTTAAAGGTTCACTTCTTGTACAGCACCACCACCCACACACAAACACCTATGTGCCTCCAGAATTTATAGCTCTATAGTCTGGACAACCTTTGGCTTGAATCAGAGTGGTAGCTACATGCAGAATGAAGGGCAAGCTGCTTTACTTGTCTAGTCAGCATGACTTGACATGAAAGAGAAAACATCTTTTAGCTCACAGCACCCCATCACTTCTACCAATATACTCAGTTCTGTCTTGTTTTAAATGCAATTTTGGACAACTACACTGCAGGCAGAGAGGGGAATCATCCCTCAAGCATCACTTTATCAGAAAGAGATATATATTTATATATCAGAACATTTAAATTTAGAGTTCTTTGAAAGACAACAGAAATCCCCCCTGTCAAATGTGCTTAGACTTCACTCTGGAAGCATATTGCATGACTTGGATTTTTCAGCTGCAGTGCAATGGATACTATTTTGTTGAGAAATTATTTCAATGCAGACTCTCTACAGATGGCATTGAGTAACACTGTGGGCTATTGGCCAAATTCTGACATCATTTATATGCATGAAATGGAAAACCACAATGGGGATAAAAAGCAAAAGAATGGGAAGATTTGGCATTGGAAGGAACAATGATTAGGTTGTCTTCACACCAGTATCTACTTTTACTATATTAAATTTGCCTAGCCTGTAAGACTCCAAGGCTAGGCAGTGTGCACATATGAAGAGCAGATAATCCTAACACTATTCCAGTTCTGCACTCAAAGAGTGACACTTTGCCATGCCATGGTTGAGGTCTCTCTGAATGATGCTCTTATATTCTTGAGATATGCCAGGATGAAAATATTGATTCCAGATCCCCATAGTTAGTTATGAAAGCACATTAGAAAATAGCCTCAAGAATCCTCAGGTCAGAATATACACAAAATGTTATCTCAATAATATATAGTATTACAAAATTAAGGGATGTTCTGTTTTGCTCTTCACTGTTGAACATATAACTGTCATTGAGAGATGTGAGGCAGCTTGCCTATGTTTCTTTGTATTACTTAATTAACCTAATGACAAGTACACATAGGTTGAAATTATAAATTTAAGGTTTTAGTTATTTTATATTGCCACTTATAGTCACAATTTCTTAATTACTGTTCATGCCAACATAAAGAAAAAACAATTTCTGTTCTCTCCTAGCTGAGGTGAATGTGTAAACTGGATACATGGAGGTGAGGCAAAAGAACTGGGAGAAAACTTAAAACAGATGGAGGCTGAGCCATGGGCCTCATAAATATTGTTTTGCTTTATCCACATAAATAAACCTTTCAATACAATTTTGACTCATACTGGTCATTCCTACAAAGGAAGTGGTTGATACACTTCCAGTCACAGAATCATAAAATGACTGATTATATGATGTACAGTGTAAAAAAGTTACTGAAACTTAAAACTGAAAAAAAATTCAAGCAGTGCTCTAGAAAGCATCACTAGAAAGGTTTATTTTCTGTTTAACAAAGCCATTAAATTATAGAGTCTGCACACTGTACCTTCAGAAAAATAAATCAAGCAGTTTCAAGACTTCTTCAGAACCAAACACACACATGTGGGATTGGGATGAAGTTGTTTTGGTATTCTTCAAAATAACATGATAGGCAATGCTGTATCCTAACAGAGCTAAGTAATTGCATGTTTAATGACCAAAAATTACTTAAAAGAGAGTCATGGAGGGATCAACACTTAGGCAACCAATCATTTAATGAGATAAACACATATGAAAATTAGTATCATTACCTGGAGTATTAAACTGATAGTAGTTAGGATCATCTTTTTCCTGTTTCAATGTTACTGTTGACAATTTGGAAGAAATCCCTGTAGAAGCAACAAAGGAATCAAATATGGAAACAATAATAAGCAGATTCTTAAAACAAAAACAAACACAAAAAAAACAAACACAAACAAAACAAAACAAAAAAACCACGAAACCACCAAAAAGACAAAACAAAAAAACACACTCACCACAATCCTCGTTGGTCTCTATTAAAAAAAAAAAAAAAGAAAAAAGAAAAAGGAAAAAATACAAAACATTACACATTTGTTGAGCTAAAAAAAATGGTAACAAAGTGACCTGCTGGTTTCTTATGTTTCAGTTTGGTCAACCCCAGAAATAATCTAGGATTAAATACCTCCCTACAAACCAGGCTCCCCTGAAGGTGCTGCCTCAGATCTGAAAAATATTTTTTAAATTGGCTCCTTCCTCTTTGCATGCTACCACAGGAAAGAAATATATTTTATCACTCATTGTGCTAAAAGTCCTGGGAAAGCTCCTGCTCACTCTTCTGTGAGAATTACTTAAAATGCCTAAAAAGCAGCACTGGAAATAGTCTGGGGCTGACTTTGTAAAAAGTTCATGTTAATGCTTTGTGTATGTCAAGGCAAATATTAAAAATGGAGGGTGCCTAAACCACAAATTTCAAGTTGTGAAGTACAAACAACAACAGCAAAAAGTTGAACCACATATGAAAACTTAATTCTAATAAGAAATTGAGCAGTGCAGCTCAGCCCAGCAGTAGGGAAAGGCACCAGTTTATCTCCCAGCACACCTGCTGCCACCTCACTGGCTTTAATGGGATTGTCCATGCTTTTATCTCAGCACGCAGCTCAGCCTGACTCTGCCACACATCACAATGCCCTGGGGAATCAGCTGCTACCTGCACAGCAACTTAGGAATCATCTGGCAATTTTTAAATAACAAATAATACCTCTTGTTATTTATGAACTTTTAATTTCTATTTTATCTAGCAAATGGACATTTTTTTAATTTTCAATATTTTAGGAATATTAACAAATAAATTCTTCTCTAAATTACAGAAAGATAAACTTGGCCTACAATGTATTACAAATTTTTGTCATTTCCCTCTTGAAATGGAAGCATTTGGCTAGGGTTTAATATTTGATAAAAACTCCAACTGAAAAACAGACAGTTTCAAGGAAAGAAATGTTTTTCTGTGTCACCAAGGATGTCTATTTGCTACTTTTCTTTTTTTTGGAGCTTTTCTTTTCTGTTTTTGCTTAAGTTCAGTCTTCTAACATAATCTGGGGTTTTTTCTTTGTTTTTTTTGGGTTTTTTGGGTTTTTTCCTGCAAATTAAGGCAAAATTTTGAACATACCAGGATCCTTGCTTGGTTCTGTTTTCACAGTAACAGGAGGACAACTATAAAATTAAACAAATCAAACAGAATTACATTATTAAAAACAAACCTTAGATTTCTGGTAAGTTCTTAAAGCTTTATAGCTTGCTAAGCAAAATCAATCTCTCAGAACTTTTTTCTTACAAGAACATAAAATTAAAAACCCCTGCATATTGGCTTATCTGATTTTTTAACAACTGAATTGCCAGCAATCTCCTATTCCTACTTTTTATTTGAGGTACATCCAAGATTCAGATCATGTTTAGCATTTAATGAGAGGCAAACACAGAAGCAGAGAATACTGATCCCTGTTTTCACATTCACAAATTTTTGATCTATTACAGATATAATATCTTCATTTACTAATTAAAAAAAATCACTTTTTTCAAATTGAGGAGGGGGAAGGAAGCAACATTACATCCGTTCTCCCTCACTGCTGTACCATAAAAGATGGCAGACTATGAATTAAGACTAACAGACTGTGAATTGAGAACACCCATTGGGCCAATTAAACTAAAGAGAAACTTTGCCATTTGTTTAACTTGTAACAGTTTCCTCACAAATAATGATCAAAAGAGAAGATTGAGCCTCATGCTTTTTATAATGCCAAGTAAGCAAAAGTCATTCAAAGGTCAGATGTGCAGAAAAAGCACATTAAGACAAAGATAACAATATGAAAATAGATAGTTGATTTTTTAAAAAATCTACATTATTTAAAATTCACCTTTCAAGTGGGGGTATAACTGAATGTGAAGGAGCTGTCACATCAGCTTCTGAAAGTTAAAAGACAATATTTGAATTTCCTGTACTCCATTTACTTTAAACACAAATTGAAAATATAACATTGATTTCACAAAGCAAAAGCCTGTTCACATTTTACAAGCATATGTGCATATTTTCCTTATTCACAGATAATGAAAGATCCCATTAAACTGTACTGAGACACAAACAGCTTTAGAATGTCACTTAGCACACTGAAAACCTGCCTTGTATTTTTGATAGTACTATATTATTAACAGAATTTCTGTAATATTTCATCTCTAGTCCTCAACCTGAGCATAGGCAACACATCTCTAACTTTACTAATCAAGCATCAACTTCTGGCTCTTTCACTTAAGAAATTAAATTTTTTCTTTTGGACTACATCCACAGAGATTGCTTCATCATTTTCATAAAACAAATCCCCACATTTCTGCATTTAGCAAGTAAAGCAACATGATACTATAAAAGGAAGAGGAGAGGGGATTTCTCCTAAGCTAGAAGTGAATCTCTCTAGAGTTTTACAACACTCACTCTAGCTCAGAATTTTTCATATATAGAGGCTTTCATAGGAACTACAACACCTAGTCATTTCAAAAGATTAAATTACTTTTTAAAATAAAATATAAATGCCAAAATCAGCTGGGCAGTGGAACCCAAGCACTAGAATGTTTTGGCATCTTCTGTAAACTGAAAGCAGTCCATCCTATGTTCACCTCTCCTTCTCTCAGGATACTATTCAATTCACATTAAATTGAAATTCAATATAAGGATGAAGAATGAAACAGAATGGACTTGATCAAGACAAAGAATGAAACAGAATGAATTATCTCTAATGAGTTGCTCCTGGCAAATGCATAAAGGAAAGAAAGGGTTATATATAGGAAGGGGTTACTTATAAGTAAGGCAACTCACAGTCTAGAAACTTCTGCACAGTTTGCCACTTTATTTACACGACCAAATGCTCTACATATACTGCTACCTAAACTCAAATTTCAATATTTTTCTGTTTATTCTGAATAAGCATTAACTTACCTATCTGTTTCTTTGGTTCTACGAAAAGCCTGGGTGGAAATATGGGAAGAAAAACTCAGTTTTAGCAAAGACATTGTTAATTACTTGGTAGTGTACATTACAGAGAGAATTCCTATTTAAGAGAAACAGTCTGCAGTGTATTTACTTAAAAATTAAAATTAATTTTACTGAAGTACAAAACCAAATTAGACAGACTAGCACAAGAAAGAGAGCAAATAACCTGTTGATACTAAATGAGATTTCTGATTTGTTTTTCAAAATCCATTTCAGGGTGGAAGCATCATAATTTGATGGATGTTTAAATGTGACTCCTTCAGGCAGGCCCTGCACTACCACAACAGACTGGTTCCTCTGAATCTCTTCATATGGCACAGGTACTGCCGTTGACTTTCCTAAAGCTTTACCTGGAAAAAAAAAGAGGAGTTGTTTTGGTGTTGAGACTGCTGAAGTTAGCAAAAGGATGACAAAACTTTGTAACTTTGGACAGAACTGGAGCAAAAGCAAAGTGTGGATGCAAATCTTCTCAGAAAACCAAACACTGCTGGCACTGATCTGAGATCATTGCACAATGTGCACTGTGCAATGATCTCAAATCACATCCCCCAAAACACATCAAGAACCACTACATGTGTATTTTTCACAAACAGCTACTAAACGTTTCTTAAAACAGCAGTGTAGTTGGAAAGCTAAGTTCATGCAGTTTTTTCCTCCCAAATGGAATAAAAATTTTAAAATCTAGAAGAATTTAAAGCACCCACCATAGGAAAAGCAGAAAAACTCCTCCACAGACTTTCTAAGAGCCTCCAGCTCCTCAGCATCCAGTGTCTGTCTGTTTACAGGTGGTGCAGTCTTTGTTTTCTGCAGTTCTGGAGGCCTGCCCTCCTCTGTAACACCTGGCAGTTATTGAGAAAAATAAGACAAGCACAAAATAGTAAGTTATTAGAAGTGCCTAGCCCCACCACTTTAAACTAGAGATTCTCAAGCAGGAAACCTGCCAGGAAATTGCAAGAGTTTACTTTTATTAGAAGCAAATGCACACATCTATGTATATAAGCAATGAGCAAATTTAAATTTACACCAGAATTATTATATCCTCACTACAATCTTTGCAAATATCACCCCCTGAAGAACATGAATGACAAATTAAAAGACACATCCAAGGAGGCTTTCTTTGGCATGAAGAGGTTGAAAACACGATTAATCTCACAGGAGGATAATACAGCCAAAATAAAATGCTAAACTGCCAAGAAAAAAAAAAGGACCAACAGAGTCACCAAGGAAAAGGTAAAATGCCAGTGTGAAGGGTCCCATAACTCTCTAGTGCTGTGCATGTCATCTTATGCAGCAGTTCTGTTATGTCCTGGTTTATTTATTCTGTATGTGCTTTGCAGAACATTTTACAGAAGGGATCTGACTTCTGCCATGACAGCTCATCTCTTTCAAAGGACATTTTAAGTACACACCTCCTACTGCTGAATAAGAGGAGCTACAAACGAGACATCATCACTCAAACAGAGAAGATTTCAGCCCTACACCTTGTTCTAGTCTCTGAGCAAAAGTCACTGCAAAAGGAGTAAGGAAGTAAGAACACTTCCAGCATTAAAAAGATTAAAAAGCAAACAGAAGCGATGGCTTTGGGTGGCAGCCTTCCTTTCTCATAATTCAATTCTTGCTAAGATTTACTGAGAATCATCCAGCAAAAGCAGAGGCAAACAACAGAGATATGCTTGCCTACCTTGAAGGAAAGGCAAGGGAGATCTGTGTTCCTTTGGGCAAGAGCATGATCAGTGCTGAAGCTGTGTCATGACTTCACCACGAGCCAGCACAGCAGTAAGCCTGAAACACTGCGATGTGCATCACCAGGACTGCTGGCATCACAACTCTACACTGACACAAGAAAACAAACATCACTTTGAACAACTGATTACAAATGGGCTGTGAAATGAGCTGAAGCAGCAATGCTTTTAGTAAAACCACATTTATCATCTTAAAAACTCGTATCTTCATTTCAAAGAGAATCTCATCCCTCCTGTGCAGATCATACATCTGCTTCATGCCCTGCAAACCCACCTCCATGTGACATTTAGTTTGCCAGCTCTTCAGGCCTGAAACTTTTGCATTCTCTGCAGTATGACAGGGCCTATCAGAACATGAAAAATAATGCAAAACTGGGATATGGTTATATACCTGTAACACAGGTGCCTAATCAATGACAGCATTTAGGATTTGCCTGTGGACTTGGGATAAGACATCAGCTTCCATTTACAGCTACCTTTAATGCAGCTTTTTGAGTGGGTGTTTTTCCTATGTAAGAAACTGATTCACTGAAAATGCCTTTACTGCCAGCAGCTTCAAAAAGTGTACCCACACTTTCTAAAAATAATAAACAAACCAAACTTAAGATGACAACACTGCCCTCTTCATATGAAAATGAAAAGCAGACAGAAAGATGGAGAAACTTTCTTAATTAGAAGACAAACCCTTATGGGTTTTTTGAATTACATGATTTTTATGCATCTTCTTAAGATCACATTATGCATCTGCCTCCCTAATCCCTCCCACAATCGTTGGCTGATTTTAATCAAGACTCACAGACAAGATTAAGTTTCAAACGCAGCAAGATTGGTAACAGCCCTGCAGAACTGATCAAACCTAGCAGGCATTCCCTCCTCCTGGTCCTGCTGTTGGACACACGAACCCCTGGAGGTTACACAGCTTCACAGGCTCTTCAAAGCCCTGCCACAATTACTGGAACCCTGAGCAGGATTCAGGCTACATCTGGGAGGGGATGCCAAGGACATTTGCAACAAGATCTGGTGCAGAAGAGGGATGAGGGAGCTGATTTATGGTTCACAAAGGGGAGGAATGGTTATATGGTAAAAGAATAGCATTCTGCACAGTTGGGAGCATCCTGTGGAATTAGTTTCACTGCTCTTCTGGATTCAGCAGGACTACAACTACACAACTCCCAACAACTCTCATTTTGCAATAAGAGTCAATAAATGCTTAAGTGTCTCTTATTTTCTTTGACTGTCCAGATGTTTTAGGGTTCTTTAGAATATCCTTCCCTCCAGGTCTGACAGTCCAGCATAACACTCAACTGGAAAAGGAATCTCCCTGCTGGCCCCATTCTGAGCAACAAATCCAGCACTGTCCTCATCTCACCAAAGAATAAGAAACAAAGAAATCAAGGTTTAGCACAAAAACAATCTACTTAACTGAAACTTCCTCAAAAAAAAGACCTGAAGATGAGATGCTCAATAGAGAAGAGCTGGCACAATTTGGTATCTGAAGCTGATAGGGCTCAGGACTCCACTGGCAAAAGAGCTGTCAGTCCCATGGCAGTTAAGGCATCTTAGAATATCAGAAGGTTTTTAATCTGGTGTCTTTCAATCCCTTAGGGAGAGAAAAACAAGAAGTAATTTTAAGACTATGAATGTGACCCCTGCACAGGAACTCTGAGAGGCAACTTAAGAGCAACAATGATCTTGTGACACCACTCCTATATATGTATTTCATTATTTGTACTTAAGGAAAATTGCTGCAATGAAAGAGGGGAAGTAAATGGGTGCGTAGCTAAAAGCATTTTGCTTTGGTTATAATGTCATTCACTCAATTCATCTGTGAGCTTTTTAAGGCCATCCAGCTTTACAGCTCATGAAACTGGAAAATTTCCTCAAATTAAAGAAAAGTCATTTTATAATTATCAAAGGATCACTTGAACCACACAAAAAGCAAATCACCTAAAGCAGAATTTAGCAGGCATGAAATTTCAGAAATACTGACTACCTACAGTAAATTTCTGTTTGTTTTCAACTCTTGAGGAAACAAGATGTGTGATTTCCAAGGAAATGGGACTGAACTTTCCCCACAGGTTTTTAAACCAGCTGTTGACTTCACACCCCTTAGCTGACTAGGCAGAGACAGAACATTAAAGGTTTGTGGCAATCAAGCCAAGCAACCTAGCTGTACAAGTTACTCAGAAGGATTCAATGAGACAGAAGCCCAGCTGCAGATCTTCCAGCAGGTCCACAGTAGCCTAGTTAATGGGAAAAATCATTTTACTTGTCTGCAGATGATGGAATACACCCAAGAGGAAACAGATACTCACATACCAAAAGAACATACTGAGGAGCCAAAGCTGACCAATCTTTCCCACAAAGTCTGTGGAGAACTGCATTCCAGTTATTCTTGGATGTGTTCTTACATAAAGAACACCCAGATTCTGAGCATTCCTGAAACTACAAGAAGTTCTCCCAACCTATGGCTGGATGGACACAGAGATACAGGTAAGAAGAAGAGAAGACCCTGGCCCAAAGTCTCCAGCAGGACTTGAAGTCAAACTCGGGCCCATACCAGATGCACTGTTAAGATCAGTGTGGAAACTCAAGGCCATCAGGAGAACAATGAAGGCTCCAAAAATAAAAATAAAGGACCCATCCAAGATGAACCACCTACAGGTGCAAGATGGCCCCATCTCAGTCAATTGAGCCCAAAGCCCTGGCACCACCAAAGAAACAAGCAGCATGACTGGGAGAGCTGCCAGAAGTTGAGAACTAGCAGGATTAAGCTTCTCTGCAATATCAATGGTATAGAAGACAGTACCAGTGGAAATGCTAGCAGAGGCAACTGGGATTCTTGGAGAAGAATTGTCTCCTTGGCAGATGGGATGGAGGAACACATGGTGCCGGGTAAATATCTTTCGAAGTCCAGGACAGGTGACCAAAAAGGTGCTTCTGAATCAGGAAGCTCTTCTGAAAGTTCCCTTCTGACAGGCAAATACAACCTGGGGAAAATAAGGCTTCCTCTGGGTTTTGGGGTTTCTTTGGATGCCTTATAAACTATCTCCAGCTCACATTCAAATGAGAATGAATTCCACACAGCCCAAGGGAAACTGCCACGATGACAAAGATGAACACTGAAGAGAACAGCATTCTTCAGATCCCCAGGAGTAAGTCCCCTGTTCAGGACAGCTGATAACCCACAACTCCAGAGCAATCCAGAGATGACAACCCAGAGGCACTTTATCTTGCCAAGGCCATGTAAGAGGAGCTGAGGACCACACAATACACTTTAGCAGGGGTCAGCAACTAAAAGAAAACGGGTAGCACTATTAGAGCAAGATGTATATGATGCTGATTGCTTACAGTGCAGGAATATCTACACTTGTCCATAAGCTCAATATGAGCAGGTGCTCAAAGAACATGCTATTTCTATATACAATACAAACTTACACAGGCCTAAAATGTCTGACACTGCAGGTTACCCAAGGCACGTGTTCTGGATACAAGAACATGCAGCTCTACACTGATTGAAACAGTCTGTTTCACCATGACATAGGGCTCACAGTTATCTTCATTAAGCAGAGTTCAGAAGAATACATTATCTGACTCAGCCTTAAATAATCAATGCCTGTTGACTGGTTTTTCAACACTTAACTACACAACCATACTAAAGTTTTTAAAAATGTTGTTATTATTAATTCCTAACATATTTTCTTAAGGTAATAAGGTAAATGGGCTATGGTCAGGG